CTGAATGATGCAATACAAGGATACCATCAAGATGTATGTTAAACCACCATTTGCTTCCCCTCACAGTGGTGTTCTCATTTCTTTATGAAATATTTAAGGGGTGCATGTTGTTCTGACAGCATATTAAAGCAATGTCTTCTTTGATGATGTAATAACTGTTAACAGCTTAACGCTCCCATAACCAGCTAGTAATGGGAAGGGTATGTTGGATTCTACTAGTTTTGAAGTGATGTCAGCCAAAGATTTGTAGGATCATAGTTTTCTTTAGCTTTTTAAAATATCTCCATCTGGCATGCTTTATATTTTATTCTACTCTGCTTTGGATTGTAGTTTTGCTGTGCTTTGTGACTTGCCTTGCAAGATCTATGCTTTTTTGCCTTGACTTGACCTCTGTCTTGATAACCTTGGACTGGTCTTTAAGGATTCAAGTTGCAAACACAGAACATGTTGTCATCCTTCGTTAAACTTTGAATCCTTCAAGTGCTTCTTGACTAATACTGTGTATAATCCCGCTCACTGAACATCTGACTTGTTTCCATTGCTGAGCTATGGGAAGTTTTTATGCTCACTGCATATTTTAAAGGTTGTCAGTGATGTGTTCAGCCAACTTGCAACCTGATTCTGTAAAATTATAATGCTCAAGTCCCAATCTGGAATTGATGTATTTTGTGGTTAAAATTGCTTAACTCTTTCATCTCTCATGAATTCTACCATATTTAAAAGTCCATAATGATATCTGATCTTAGAGAGAAGTGGGGAACTTTTTTAATAGTTGTGCAGCTCTTTGAAGAGCATGACATGGGAAGCAAGCTCTGGAGGGAGTAACACTACATATTGCCAGTGTTGTTTGTTTTGTTTTTACATTGAAGGCTGAAGCTAAGTGCCAATTAGTCTAAAAAGATGCTGTATTTTAGAACATTCAAACATTTCAAATACTTACCAGACTGCCCAAATGCTGATGAACAAGATGGGTAGAAAGCAATATGCTACTAATAACTCAGTGAAACTTTTTGTTAGGAATGAATTAGCAGCTATTCCAAGCCTCCTTGAAACCTGGAATACTTCACAAAAATACACATGAAGTTTTACCACATGTGAAAAGGAAGAACTCAGAAATGGCAGATGATCTTTTAAAAGAGGCCAGCTTTTAAAAATATCTCAAATTTAGCATGTTCTCTGCAGGACAAGTTAGAAAAAAGTATGTGTTTGTCTTTTGGTATAAGAAAGGACTACCAGGTGGGATGGGAATCTTTCTGGCAAAGCTTACAGCTGAATGTGAAAACAGGTCTATTTCTACTCATATATGACTCTTGTACTGTTGATATCAAAGTATTCAAGGCATTGAACTCACATATTTTCATCTCCAGACCCGCACAGTGTATTTTTAAGGGAACTTAAAGGTACAGGTGCCAAAGTTGCCACAGAATATGGTTTTCATGAACTTAAAGGTACAGGTGCCAAAGTTGCCATAAAACATGTCTGATGAGTGAATGACCTTGGTGGCAGGAGCACTACATGTCTGATGAGTGAATGACCTTGGTGGCAGGAGCATTTTCCTTCAGATATTCTTTCTGGTTCCACTGAAATCGGCAGGTGTTTAAATGTTACTTTTACTGGTTAAATAAATGTGGTGCATCTCACTGTTGGCTCTTTAATAGTTTAAAAATGTCAATGATTTTTGCTTGAATTGAGGAAGTTCAGAAAGTGTGTACCTCCTTTGTGTTAGTAAAGTCTGATCTATTAGCACTGGCTACAGGAAAATTATATGAGAAAAAAATGGAAAAAAAGAATGCATTGATGAAGATGACCAAAAATGTTAATACATTAATTCTGCGGAACATACTTGATTGAGAAAATCCAGTTCTAGTTTAACAGCTTGATTGTTGAGTGAGAGAAAACCTTTTGTTCTGATGAACAAATGAGGAGGAGCAGTTTTACAAACAAAGCAGATAGACACTGCATTTGTTTCTTTCTGCTTGTAGTGACTAATTAAAGATTCTGTGAATCTTTTCCAGAAATAATGCAGTCAGCTCCAGGTACCAGTAGTTAACTTGATTTCTTAATTTTGGACAATAGACAAGGAGGAAAAAAATCATATTCCTGCTTGGGAAAAAAAAAAAAAAAGTAACAAGAAAGAATATAACCTTCTGTAAATTCTGCAACCCCAGGAATTTCAGGAGATACTTAAATGAACAAAAGCTGTTTGGCAGTGCTAGGCAGAATGTTTCTGGTCAGGAGGTAAAAAGAGTACTGCTCTTTAGTAGTATTTAGTCTTATAATTCTAATTATTTTATTATATATATATATATAATATATTATACATTATTATATTATTATATTATTAATATAATTATATTATTATCTTTAGTCTTTTTTATTTAATACTGCTTTGCTTCTAGAAATGGGATAACTTCACTAACATCTTAGAGGGCGAGGAATATGGATTTTCATATATTGACTGGGTAGTAGCAAGACAGTTCTGTTGCTTGCCTTTTTAGACAAAAGTATAAAAGTTTAAAAGACTTTTAGAGAAAGTCAAGTATACTGAGGTCTTTCAGCTGGCATATGTGTGTTTTTCCTAAATAGTACAGCTGATAAATACACCTCTGGTTCTGCTTACTGGTATGGATTCATCATCACCATCTGTTTAGTAGCTCAATTTCAGTTAGCAAGATATGAATGCAGCAGGGATAAGAGAAGGGAGAAGGCTGGAGAGAAGTACAGAAGTAAGAACCAGATGCGTGGTTGCTCATCCATGGGTTTAATGCATTTCTCTGGGTGATATGGTAGGTTCAGATCCTGTAGAGTTTAGGTGTTTATTTAAAGGGAAAAATCTGAAATATTTCTGTTCTAGCCAAAAAGATAGAAACTTTTAAAATGCAAACAGGTCCAGCCATCACTCCTTCTGACTGAACACACCAACTAAAACAATGCCTCACTAAACAATAAACTTAAAAGTCAGAGGAAGAATGAATTATGAGAAAGTGTGAGTTACTAGGAAAACTATACATTCAGTAGGGGCAAATGGAGAAGAAAAAGACAGGGCCTGAGGATCAGAGGCAGAAAATACCCTTGGAGAATAACTGAGCACCAAATAGTCACAGAGAACAACAAATTGGAATGGATAGAGTGCTAAATCATACCTAAGCTAGTGGCTGAGTACTGGCAGTGATCAGATCCCTGTGTTCCTTAGTGTTCATGACCCTACATGCAGCTTTTTGTTGTGTCAGACATTTCTCTTCCTTATATCAGGTAAACAAGTGCTGTGCTGTCATCTCTTGCAGGGGGAAAGTTGACCTCTCACAAATCTTTTGAAGGAGGGGTAGGAGTGTGCAGTCAAGTGACGAAGTAAACATGTGGTGTGCCCTTGTTCTTTTTCTTTCTGTCCCGATGGCAAGTGACAAGGCTGGTTATTTTTTCCTTCTTGAAGCTCCTTTCTATGCTTATGGACATGAGGACCAGCACAGAAGCTACCACTAACACACAGCAAATTCAGGGCATGTTAAACAGCCTGAGACAGCTATGGCCAGCAACATCCTGGTAGCTGAGGGGTTTTGTGGGAGCCACCAGGGCTAGCCACTGTATATTGTGCTCAAAGATGGGTGCAAATCCTTTGGCAGTCAGCCCTCTCAGCATAATCTCTATACAGTCTGCACACAGCCCTTAGTTTCAAGTGATATAATTCAACACCTACTCCAAAGGTGTATATTTTAAATCATATAGTTAAATAAAGTCAAAGAATACTAGTTGTTTTGTTTGGTTTTTTTTTTTTTTTTTTTTAATTAGCACTCTGTTTCAGAGCCATTAGTGATCATGTGGGTCATATTTACAGGCTCTTACCCATACCCACCAGGGTTAGGAAATGCCTTAATTTCACTTAGTAAAGTGAAAGTTGAGATTCTAATTATATAATTCCAGGAACTGAGGTTTCAATAAAAACATAGGTACTATAGACCTTGTGTGATTCAAATATCTGTGATTTCAAGGAAAAATACATAATACTTCTTCAATCTTCATTTTGAGGTGATCTAACTCTATGTTGCCCCACACTCAGAGCCTTAGATGCTGAATCCAGCCCTAAGCCTGATTCCTTTACTCATGTACTTATTACTTTGCCTCCTGAATTAACTCAGAATAGTAATTTTATTGCATAAACATCTCACTTGGGGATTTGATTACAGTGTATTTAGTCCTTTGACTATTCCTTTATTGCAAGGATTAGGCCTCAGAAATGAAAAGAAAATCAAAGTAATGTCAGGAGCAATTTTCACTGAGCTCAGGGTATCCTCTCAGTAGGGCAGGACCAGCATTGGACTTTACAAAAGGGAGGATGCTTGTCAGACTGGCCACCATCATGTTTGAAAATATATCATGTGTTCCTTCTGGAAGATAACTTATTTGTTATATGTATCAGGGGAGATCCAGATATCATACATGCTGATCTATATTGCCATTATGTCTTCCCACTAACAAGTATTATTATCAACACAATTGTTACAGACAAAGATCCATCCTTCTAAAATTTCTTTCCCTTAGGTTATGTTTTCATAGAATCAGAGTAGTTTAATTTAGAAGGCTCCTTTTAAACATCATCTAGTTCAACACACCTGCAATGAACAGGGATATCTTCAACTAGATCTGGTTTCTCAGAATCCCATCCAACCTGACCTTAAAGGTTTTGAGAAATGGGGTATCCACCACATCTTTGGACAATCTGTTCCAATGGTTCACTTCCCTCATTGTAAAAGACTTGTGTTTTTATATCTAATCTAGAAAAATACTCTTTAATTTGAAAACATTTATTCCTTATCCTACCATAATAGGCCGCGTTAAAAATTTGTCCCTCTCTTTCTTATAGTCCCCTCCAAGTACTGGAAGGCTGCAATGGAATTTTCCCAGATCTTTCTCTTCTCCAAATTTAACAATCCCAATTTTTTTCAGTCCTGAGGGGGAGAGTTTGCCCATCTTGAGGGAGAAACAAGAGCAGAAGAACAAACTCTGCCACCAAGCTGATGCCAATGACCCTATGTGCCTGCTAAGGAAACCAGACCTGAGCTGGGTCTGAGCTGGCCTGTAAGGGAGACAGAAACTGGATGCCAGGTATGAGGGAGTAAGGGTGGAAATGGATGCAAACAGGGTTGCGTGTGACATATGGTTCCTTTTGCTTTCAGTCTAGCAGAAGTTTCTTAGTGGATATGAAGTCCTGTGCCTGATTGTGTAAAGCCCATTAGCATATGTCTCTGCAGTGGGTTTCTGTGGCAGAGTTCCAGTAATTACTGTTCATTAGTATTCATTAGTACCAGGTCTTGCCTGATCTTGAGTTCATGTTGAATCAGCACTGCTGTAACATTTTTGATATGGGCTGGATGTAGAGGTCAGCATGGAGGCATTAATTAGGCCTGGTAGTCAGAAGTTATTTTCATGGCTCTTCAGATAGGGTTTGTTTCAGATACACCATGGCTTTTCCTTCTGAAGTGGAAAGCATATATGTAAAGTGGAGCAGTGGTGAGCCTGACACTCAACAGCTTGTGAATATAAAAGCAAGGATTTAAAGAAAGCCCTAAACTTGCTCTCTGTTAACAGTGACCTGTTAAAAAATCTGCAAGGGTTTCAGTGACTTTTCTTGTTGCTTTCCTTGCTGTTGCAACTGAGGAATGTTGACACTGAAAAGAATTTAAAATTGCAAAATATGGATAATAATGTGATTTGTATTGCTGAATTCTCATTCTTCTTTTGATCAGCTACTGCTGATAATAATGTAACCACGAGCTTCTAGGGTATACCCTCTGACCTCTACAATAAGAAGAACATTGAACAGCAAACCTACTTATCTCTTTTTAAAAACAAAAAGGGGGAAAAGATTGTGTTTGAATAGTTGCTACATTAAAAATATAAGTTCAAGGTACTTTTGGAACCCAGAGGTACTTTTGAGAGGTACTTTATGAGGAAGGATTGAGTAAAATCTGAACACGGGTTGGCCTTTTTATCTTGTATAGTTAAAGAAAGTGAAATTATTTCAATTTCTAATTTTCTTAGAGAAAAATATATTTTCTATAGATATCTTAGACTGTACATTTATCTAAAAGCACAGATCTATTTACCTTTTCTTTATTTCAACTCTGGAAAGTTTACTTTCAGTCTGGAAAATCATGATCCTCAACACACAAATCCTTAATTCCAGTAATAACCAGTCTCAGTAGACTGCTATTCACCTGAGAAAGAAAAGGTATACAAAGATCCATGCACTGAAGCATTCAGCCAAGGTATTTTCTTTGTCATAGCCAATGTCTCCTTTAGCTGAATTTAAGTCTACAATACAGAGATACAGCTGGTGAGATCAGTCTTTTAAATTTCAGTAACACAGAGTATTGCCATTACTTGGGAATTACTCCAAAGAAATCTGGCTGAAGAATGGCGGGGAAAACCTTTTTTTCAGACTTTCTCATCTTCAATAGCGATGAATAAAATATTTAAGACAGAACAGGAAAATTTCTCCTGGTGGAGATGCAGAGGTTGGGACTGCTCCCCTCATAAAGTGTTGTCTTTCTACATAACAACTCTAATAGAGTTGTAGATCTAGTTGCACTTCAAAGTAAAAAGCACAAAGTACTCTTCTCCTTGGAATAATCAAAAGATTCCAGATGATGACAATAAGACTAGACAGTCTTTAATGCTTCCTGGATTCCTTTAAATCAGGTTCTTTTTGACACTCATCTGCTCTTTTTCCATGTTATGGATCCAGGGTAAGCTGTAAAAAGTGTGCCCAGTGAACTGGGTAAATGGGCCTTTGACCTGACCCAGCATGGTCACTCTTACATTCTTGTAGTATGTCTCCAGATAGATCACACTGAGATCCTGATGGCAAAATATTTCTGCATCATTTTCTAATTGAAAGAGGATGAAGCAGATACTACCATGCAGAAAGGTCTTTGTTTTAAATGAAAACAAGACAAAGCATGCAGATTTGCAAAGTGCAAAAGTAACACCTCACGTAGTAAAGATATTTCTGTCAGTAGTATGGAACACAGGAAAAGTCACTGCCTGTACCTGAAACCTTTTCAAATATTGCATGATGTAATATCAGAAGCATTAGAAATAAAGATGAATGATATTATAGCTTCAATAGATCCAAGTACCTCCATGAACCTAAGCAGACCAGAGGTATGTTTAGTGAAGAACTGGAGAGATTTGCAGTCCATGTTAAGAAGGAGAATGAAAAAGCTAGTATCACATCCTGTTCAGGCTGGTTCCCCAGTCTAAAAAATTTGGCACCCTCTGGGGTGACCTTTGGCACCAACTGGTTTATAGCTTAGACTCACACATCTGTCTCCAGAGCTGAACACCTCTTGGGCCTCACCTTGCCCTTCACCAGAAAACGCACACGCTCTGGATCCCAGCTGAACTGGATACTTTTCACTTCCAAATGATTTAAAAGGAGAGAAAATCCTCTTTTAGGCCTTCAATCGGTGAGATTCTTTCACAGTAATGCTAAGTGCTCTTTGCAGATTAATGATGTAAACTTGTTTGAGACATGGTGTGGAACACAGATTAATGACCTCCCCATTCGCATGATTCACAGGTTCCTTTTCTTGCATGTCATATGCAGACTGGCTTCAAAATAGATATGCTTGGAGCCAGAACATTTAAAGTCAAGAAAGTCTGAAGTGCACAATCAATTTTTAGGATGTTTTTCTAGGAGTTATCTGATTGTGAGGCAATATGAATGTTGCAAATCCAACCCCTTACTCCTGTAAGAAAAATAAAATGCAGTCTCTACTAAATAAGAAATAGCAAATCTTTTCTGCAAACAAAAAAATTAAAATTCTCCTTATCTAAAGATATGAAACAAATTAAGTTCGGTGGTGGCACATTCTGCATAGAGAGCTCCTTTTCTTTCTTGTCATGCTTGGCATCTTGTTTTAGGATCCCTCTGATGTGGTACTCCTGTTGCAAGAGAATTGTTTCTAGTTCAGGGAAAGAATGATGCGTCTTTAATAAACAAACCTGGGAGCTAATACAAATCCATGTTGACAAATTCTTGTCAAGAAGAAAACCAAAGAAACAAAATCAATACATAGTCTTGCATTAAATCACATTGTTTACAGATAGATCTCCTGAAACTTTTTTTTTTTTATTTACTAAATATCTGTCCCTGATTAATTTAGAATAAACCAGAATTTGGCTTTATAACAACAGAAGTTTTTTTAAAAAAAGTTTACAGCCAACCTCTTCAAATATTCTGTCGTTTTTAAGGAAAAAACATTCCTCCCAGCCTTCCTTATTCTGACACCATTTTACTTTAGAAGATCTCAAAGTACAAGTGAATACATGACACTTGCAGTGTCTCCAGTGTACACATTTTACGTTTGATTTATGACATTACTATATAGGTGCACTTGACAGCTTTCAGATTGAAGCAGAGACAAGAGAGCTTTAAAGTGAGATGGGTTATCTGGGTAAATCTATCAAGGGTTCGTCCTGGGAGAACAAGGAGAGAGGCTTTGTAGAGCCCTGCTGTGTAGCAAGCCTCCATGCTGAGCACATCCCAAGCTCCCTGACAGTTGCACTCAGCCTTCACTGTAATAACGAATAAAAGGGAGCTCCCTGTAGATTACAGATCTTCCGTGTTTTGACATTGACCTTAATACATAATTTAACCACAAAGCCTGAGAAGTGTGGAACAAGATAAGAAAAGACCACAGAACTGGCAAATAAAGTGATGTTCAATCAGAAATCATATTTGTTCCTGATAGTGGAGATGTGGGCATTAAAAGGGGAGACAGAGAGGGATTGAGAGAGAGAGAGAGGGAAAGAGAGAGGGAAGAACAGTCTGGTTTATTTGAAGACTTATGGATCTCTTTTAAAGGACATATGGTTGTCAAATAAAAGTTTGTCCTGGATTTGCAGTAAGAAATAATAAAAAAAAAAAAGTCAATGGTTATTAAATTTTCATAGACACCAGGTTGCTGCTTTTCTCAAAATACAGTAATGGCATTTTCCATGTTTGCCTCATGTCTGCTTTTGCTTTTAACTCAATGGACTGCAGAGGGGGTGGTACATAGAATTACCATAAAGCTGTCCTTAGGCATATATTTGGACTAATCAAGTTTAATATCTGCCTATTCTAGACCTTATCTTGGGTTTCTACATTAAAAGAAACAATTGTTTGGATGCTAAGAGTCTGTAGGTTTTTCTTCTTATTTACAGAGAACACTCAATGCACAAGTGAAATGCACAGTGGGATGGGCTGCTTGCATGGAAATGGCATATTTTTACTTTAGCAGAAGAGGCTTATGCAAAGGAACAGGATTTTTAACATAAAGGCTGTGATGGTCGGTACTGTTAAAATTAAACACAATTCTTATGGAAAAAGTATCATGAATAAAATTATTTACAAAATAAAAAAAATACTTTTCAAAAATAATGGAGGAGTTAAAAATTGTTGGGAAAATATCTTTTCACCATTTGTGTTGTTTCTTTTTTTTTAAAATCCCTATTGGATAACATATATGGGCAGCTAACTGCACATTTTTCCTTCTAATTATTTTTATATAGTTCATGACTCCCCAGTTTTTCTAATGCTATAACAGCTGGATGATGTAGGCTTTGAGAAAATTCCCATTAATCAGTTATATTTTAAATTGAAAATATTTACAATTGATGAAATTTAAATTTAAATTTGACTTTGATTCTGGTTACAAAATTTAAATTTGGTGCCTCCTGTTGGATGGGTTTCCAGACCTGTCCCTTATCCCAAAATCCTTCAATTCCATCTTGCAGGCATCTTGTGGTTTTCAATGAGAATGGGATTCCCTTGTGTTTGAGCATAGATACATAATTGGGCTGGTTTGAGATTAATACCTTTCCTCGAGTACAAATATTTGACTCATAATACAAAGTCAAACCATGAGAATAAAGAATTAAACATTAAAGACAATATACTCTTTCATGTATAAAGATGGAATTGTTTTTCTTTCATTTCCAAAAGCAAACAAGTGAGCAAGCCACTCTGAGGGAATTAGAGCACATCAGTATTTTCATTTGGGATCATTATTGCATGCACACTTTCAAACAGTATGTTGAAGTATGGGGTTTTAAAAAATACATATATATATATATATAT